TGACCGTGAGAGTATCCCTTGATTTTCCTCAGCCTGGACCTCCAGGGGTGAGTGTGGCCATGGCCAGCAGACTGGCTTAAGGAAGGTCAGCTTCTATGCTGGACCTCTTCCTCAGAGAGGAGCCAGAGAAGACTCCTCCCTCAGGAAGAAGTGGACATCTGGACTTCTCTGACCTCTATTTCCTCCTGGAAACTTGGGGGAACTTGGATGAGACTCACCTTGGCAAGATCTGGGCTGGACCACGTGAGGCCAGAGGAAGGAAGATGTTGCTTAGAGGACAGGATAGGGCCTGCTTAAACTGGCTGAGGATTAACACAGACCACTCCTGCCTCCCACCTACTGGATCTGGAAGGGATGGAGCTCTGGGGTGGCCAGGGTGGGCTGGGCAGCTGGTGTGCTGTGGCTTGGTACTTACCAGAAGCAAGTCACTTGGTTTCTGTTTCCTGCCATCCACCAAGATTTGTAGGCAACATCTAATTTACTTGGGGCATTTTGTTCTGTTACTAGAAGAGGAGAGGGACTGTCTATTGGGAGTAGTTCCAGGAAGAGAACGAGTAAGGAAGGAACAGTGCCCTCCTCCCTGGCTCCTTAGCCTGCATTCGAGCCCAGGGGTTAGAGGCTGCAGCCATCAGAGGGACAAGCTCTTTGTAGAGAGGGCACAAGAGGGGTACAAGCAGTCATGCTTTGGGGTGATGGGGACTGGGGCCTCTGTGTTGGGGGAGCTGGTGTTCTCCCAGCTGCTGGCAGCCCAAGGACTGGGGTTATGGGAGCACCAGGAGTTACCCCTGGCCTGGACATTAGCTTCCCCACAAGGACCATATTCAGGGAGGCATGGTAGTGAAGTAGGGGCACTCCTTCAAGCAGGCTTGTGACCTTGGGCAAGTTCTAGTGCAGGAGCAGACAAACATGACAGATGGCCAATGGTGAATGCAGCTGACAGGCTGGTCTGGGAGCAACACAATGTCCCTTTGAGGGATTCACAGGAACTTTGCCAGAGGGGTGATTTTTCAAGGGGCTTTGGCTGAGGACCTGACTGGGCAGGAAGGGGCAAGAACAGGAATTTTGGGGTTTGGCCAAAATGATGTGGTCTTTTGAATCCAGGAGTTGGCAAGGTCTGGTGACCTCTGGGCCCAGGAACCCATGGGGAACTTACAAGAAGGAAATTGTATCATATATTTCTGAGGGACCAGTCCATGGTCTGACCTGAGGTAAAGTCCTCAAATACTTGTTTTATTTCAGCCACAGAGGAGTTCAGGTCCCTTGATTTACCCAGGAGAGGAATTAATCCAGAACAAGAATTCATCTGGAATGGGGCAGAATTAGGGGATAAGAGATATGTAACAGACCTTTTCCTCAAAAAGCTAGAGACCCAGATGAAGGCTCAACTCACTTCCTGAGTGGCCGTGGGTGTCATCTAACCTCTCTGGGCCTCAGTTTGCTCATCTATGACATGAGGGAGTTGATTCAGCTCACTTACCTCTGAAGGCTCCCCTCACTCTGTCACTGAATGGGTGTCCTCATCATAATCTGTGGGGAAACTGAGGCTCCAGAGGAAGGGTCCCCTGGGCCTGGCTGCCCCTGCTCCAGCTCTTCTGGTCAGAACTTTCTCTCCAGGTGCTGTGGACTCTTAGGCCTCAAGTAAGGAAAGGCCAGGAGCCATCCTGCCTGTGCTCGCTGCCTTGTCAGTGTGCCTGTGAGATGGGAGATTGAGGATCACAACAGCACATCTTAAATCAAAGTCTGGGCCATCAATCTTCCCAAACAGATGGGAATAACAAGGTGGGTGGCACAGTTCGCCACTGCATGGACAAGCAAGAGATATTAAAAAGCCAAAATCTTGAGCCCCAAATCCCTTAACCAATTTCCAAATACCTGAGGGAACTGCATGCTAAGGGAAGGAGGGGGTGTCTCATTGCAGAATTCCCCAGGAGGCCTGGGGGGCTCTTTACAGGAAACCCCTCTGTCTGGAGGCTTCTGAAGGCCCTGGCTTCCCTAGCCTATCCGACCTCCTGTTCCTCCTTGTAGGGACCCCCCACTAGAGTCAGTTTGGCTGAATGCAGCACAGTGAAGTGGTTAGCGTGTAGGGAAAGACTGCTTGAATCCTGACTACACTGCTCAGCAGCTCTGCAAACCTGTGTCAGCTGCTTAACCCCGTTGGCTCTGTTTCCTCATCTGTAAATAGGAGTAATACCTCCTTCATAGGATTGTTTTAAGGATTAAACAAAATAATCCACGTGAAGCAAACAGCACAGGCCTGGCACAGGGTAAGATCTCAAACATTACCCATTAATATTAATCTTCTATTATTTCACACATAAGCTCCATCTGGCTGCTGTTTTCTCTCACAGGCTCTCCTGCTCTTTTGCTTTTTTACACTATCTATCCCACCAGCCACAGTTTAACTGTCTCCTCCTCCAGGAAGTTCTCCCTGAACAACCCTCTCAGGCTCCATCTTCCTTTGCCTTCTAAGGCTACATATCTGTACTTGATCACATTTGTGGCAACTGTTTTTTGCTGCTTCATTGTGTGGGTGCCCAATGCCCCAAGCAAGCATGTCTGTTCCTGTTTTCTCTCCCCTGTCTTTCCCCTATAGCACTTTCCGTGGTGCAGTGCACATGGTAGGTGCTCATGAAACAGTTATGCTTGTCAACTGGGAGATTCCAGGGAACTGGAAACAGAATCCCAGTGTTTCAGACACTAGGTCTTTTGTCTATTTTTAGAGTTTAAATGTTCTTCAAAAAAAATTCCAAATTCTACTCTGTCTTTACATTACAACCACACCAATCTTTTCATGTCAGCCAGATGTACATTTCCCTCCTCTCCACCTGAAATACACCAGAATTTGAAAAATGAGGTGCTGGGTCTGAGAGCTTGAGATAGAGAGTGTTCTCTCTAAACCCTGACTATTCTTGTCAGGCTAAGGCTTGGGGAGGGATTAATTCTGGGTGAAAGGGAAGGTTCTGATGGCTCAGCTCTGGGCTGGGAGAGGTGGGTTTTCTACAGAGGGACAAATGGGATTTTGAAACAGGAAGTCATTATTTCTGGAAGGTCAGCATCCCAGAGCACTGTGACCTGGGGGGCAGGCGCGGAAGCAGATCTGGTCACCTTGAAGTCAGGACTGAGGACTGGCGCTACCATCCCAGCTGCGGTGGGTGGAGGTCAGGCAGGGCTGAGGCTGGCTGCTGCCACTACAGGAAAACACTGGAAGCTGGACTTGATCACACTGGATTACACTCCAGCTTGAAGAGGATTCGCTTGTCAGGCTCACAATGGGTGGTGGGTGGTAAGGAGTTCATAGTTATGAATTTGCAATGTGACCTAGATAAATGGCCATTTGGTCTGTTGGAACTCTGGGGACAGGAGCCTTCATAATATTTGGTTCTGGGTGGCGAGAGAGACTTTCTTGATGATCCAAGTCCTGAGCCCCCCAGAGAAGCACAGGGGCCACATCTTCCTCTGGGTGAGTGAGTGAATGTTTGCTCTTGGCTACCCTGAACACCAACCAAGCAATAACAGTAACGACACCATGCAATTATGAAGCTCTTATCACGTGCCAGACACAATGCTTCACAGGCATTTTACCATGAGGTGAGGACCGGTGTCTCCATCTTCTGGGTAAGGAAACTGAGGTGCAAAGAGGCTGGCTGCACTCACACAAAGTCACATTGCAAATACACAGCAGGCTCTGATCCAGGAGCTCCTGCGCCAGCCACTGTGTTACACTGTGGTGCTGGTGGAGGCTATCAGAACCTAGGCAAGGGAGGCTTTCCCAGGGTGTCTGGATTTCTCAACTCATTCATGGCTCTCCTTCCTCCATCCAGGAATGATGGAGAGGCTATAAGTGGAAATCAGAGATTTGGAGATGAGTAGAGATGGAAGTGGACTGCCTTTCCTGGCCTGAGAAGATAACTGCCTGGTCAGAGCTGAGGAGCCAGAGGGGATCAGCCAGCCTTTCCAGATGATGAAACAGGCCTTCCTGGTGGCCAGCCCTGGCACAGTCAGAGGGGGCGACAGAGCTGGGATTCCCTGTGGTCCTCTCCAGCCCACTGATCACACGGAGTTCTCTGCCTGTTTACCCTGATTCTTCTCCACTCCATTCTGAACCGGCAGGGGTCTGTCTGTCTTGTCACCAAAGAGTCCCTGGTGCCCCTGCAGTCCTGGCCTGTGGGAAATACTAAGTCAATATTTGTGCAAAGAATGAAGGACCAAAGTGCTCAGCCTGCTGGCTGTGCGGGCAAGTCTCCCCTACAGGAGAGCAGCAGATTTCCACCTCAGAGTGCCAGCAGCGTTCTGGTGGGAAGGGGGTGGGCTGGGTGGAGGACTGGTCTGGAAGTCAGTCTGACAGCAAATCCACTCCCATGTCCTCCTAAGCCACCCCTTGACCCTGTCCAAGAGACATGATTGGAGCAGGGGTAAATGATTCATCTTCACACTTGAGAATAAAGGGTGGGGGAATGGGCTAGGAGTGTGTTGGGGTACTGGCTCCAAAAGGTGGTTGGTTCCCGTTTTGGGTTCTGGACTTCCTTCGCTGAGCTGGCTGGGGAAGTGGTAAAGGACAGCTGGGCCCAGGGCCAGTTGGGGGTTCCAGCCGGACTTGGGGGGGTGGATGGCTCAGTTGGAGGCCCTCGGTGGGCGCCCTCATCAAGCAATCTCCGTGGGAGGAGGGGGGTGGGAGGGTACAGGAAGAAGTGCCAGAGGGCAGCCTGCGCCCCGTCCGTTGGCCTCCCCAAACCTGGGCTGTGGTTGTGGCTTCTTCCCCCGGGGGCTGGGTGGGGGTTGGCATAGCAGCCGGCCCGCGGGGAGGGTGTCCGGAGCGTTCGCGGCTGGGGCCGAGCGGCTGACGGGAGCCGGAGGGCGGCGCGGGTGGGGTGGGGAAGAGAAGGGGCGGGCGGCAGCTGAGGGGCGGACTGCTTTGGGGGGTGGAGCCCGGACCGCAGCGCTTGCCGCTCGCTCGGAGATACGGCTGCCGCCGCCGCCGCCGCCGCCGCCGCCGCCGCAGCCTCCGCTCTCCCTCGGGACGCAAGGCCGGCAGGCGCTCGATTAGGCTCCGGCGCCCGGGGCTGCGGCGCTCTGGTCCCGGCCCCTGGCCCGGAGCCCCTGGGGCTCTCGCGCCCAGTCTTCGGTGCCGTGCTCTGCCCGGAGAACCCTCTCCGCTGGCTGAGCCACCCCGGACTCGCGCCCCCGGGCCATGAAGAGGGGCCCGTGAGGGGCGCCCGGAGGCGGTGGAAGGGGAGGGAGGCGGGAGGCCGAGGAGGAGAGCGCGGGAGGCGGAGGATGCCGCCGCCGCCGCCGCCGCCGCCCGCCGGCCCCCGGTGAGCCTGGCTCCAGACCCGAGGATGGAGACGGCGCTGGGCGCTGTTGCGGCTCCCGGTGCGCCCCCGACCAGGTATCGGCTGGGCCCCGCGGGCCCCAGGGCGGGCGGAGCGGACCCTCGCCGCAGCAGCCGGGAGGGGCGCAGGCGCGGTGGGAGACGCCCCTCCGCCCGCGGACGGTCGTTGCTGGCTGTGTGGGGCTGGGGGAGGACAGCAGCGTGTTGGGATCCAGAAGTGGCTCCCCGAGCTGGTGGCGATTACGGCGATTTCCTCGGCTCTCCCCGCCCCCATTCTTGGAGGGCAGCAAACTTGAGACGCGCGGCGGCCCCAAGGCGACCTGCTCGCCTCCGCTGCTGAGCGCACTCGGGGACTGCCCGGGGCTTACAGTCCCACAGCCCGCCTGTTTCGGGGCTGCTGAGGCACCTGCAGACCCTGAGGTCCTCGCGCTTCCCTCCCTCCTCCTCCCGATGCCTGCACCAACTTTCCAAGCCAGGGCTGCACTGAGAGGCAGGGGGCTGCCCTCTGCTTCCTGCTCTCAGTCTGGCGCCGCTCCCATACCGACCGCTCTGGGATGAGCTGGGCTCCCGTGAGGCCCGGGCGGCCGAATGAATGCAGAGCTCCCCACGAGAAGCCAGAAGCACCCTCCCGCTCTTTTTTGGGTAGGATTCCTGGAGCAGCCCCTCCCAGGCTCCAGGTACCCAATGCTTGCTTTTTACAGTCACAGCCCAGAGTAGCCCTGGCCAGGAAGCTAGGGGTTAAAAGATAAGACCTGAGGATCGTCCAAGGATGGTACCTTGGCCTGATTTGCCATGCCACAGGGCGCCTCCTCCCCCCATCGCGGGCCTCCCTTTCCCAGGATTAGGATCCTCACCCCTGGTGCAGGTTTTCTCCCGATGGACTTAAAACACTGCTTTGAAGCAGGAGGCTCCTAAGAAGGCCTGCTGAAGAGTCCAGGTGCCAGAGGATGGGTTTAGACCATTAACAGAGAGGTGAAGGCAGGAGACAGGGAGGTGGATGTCCAGTCAAGGGCAGACAGAGCCTAGCATCTTTCTCAGAGCTGTTAGGGGCAGGGGACAAAGGAGAACTAGGACTGGGGATAGGAGGTGGGCATCCTGGCTGAGAAGGTAGCTGTTTTGGCAAGCCAAAGGAACCAGTAGGTGTAAGAGGCAAGCAGGTGGGGCCGGGGTAATGCATACTTGCCTTCAGGGGCTGCTCAGTCCCTTTGAGGTGGGGCCAGTTGCCTTACCTGGGTTCCCAGCCTCCTGTACTCAGCTGATGGGAACACGCACAGGCGTCACCACGACCCTGTTTCTTTTTCCAAGTGCTCTCACCCTTATGACTCACACATTGGATTCACCAGGAAGGTACTAAGCTTGCAACCTATTCTCTTCCACTCTCTCCTGGGTCTTCAGGAAACTGCTGGGGAAAGGAGGGGGTGATTTGCCTTTGAGCTTTAGCCCCTTTAGGAGGCAATAAGCCTGGCTCTGCAAACTTTAATTTCCCTACTGCTGTCCCAGAGCAAGGTAGGTAGGTGAGTGGCCCTAGGCTGTGCCAGGGTCTGGGGCAAGTGAGAGGAAGTCTCTCCTAATGATTCCCCCAACCCTGGGAGGGTTTTGGAATCATGGCCCGCCCCCTTCCTGGCACACTTAATACCCAGTCTCCTCATCTCAAAGCAGAAACACATTGCCCTCCTAAAATCCAAATTTCCCTCTTTGCTGAATATTGCAATGCTTTTGGCCAGAGGTTTCCTCCGTGGCATCTAAAGTTAAGCTCCTCTTGCAGACAGCTCCCCTCCTCCCTGTCCCCTCAGCCACCTCTGCTGTGGGCAGGCCCCCATTAGGAAGGATGTAGATCCCCATTAGCTCCCTGCCTCTTACCCACCAGGTCCTAGTTCCAGAGCAGGAGTGGTGCTGATGGTGCTGATAATAGGGGTGTCTGTGTGTGTTGGCTGCACACACATGGAGGAGGTGTAGTCTATGCTCCAGTGAGTCTGCAGGGGAGCCCAGATGCCAGGCTGTCACGGGGCAGGGGCAGGCTTGTGTCCCCCTTGCCTACTCCTCTGTCTCCCTCCCTTGCCCACTGTGGGTCTCCCTTTACTTTTTCAACTCAGCATTGGTTCGGGGAGGGAGCATTTGATATTCATAATCTGGTTCAGAGAAGGTCCCAAAGCCCTGAGTCACTGTATGGTTTCCATGGAAACAGACTTGTTCAGAGGACTCAGTGTAGCGCAGCAGTGATGGGGGAGAAGAGAAACATATAGTAAAATCAGGCTCCACAAGTATGGCAGGAGTTGGGCCAACTCCCTTCATGGGGGGTAGGGAGAGGCTGGGTAAGGCTCTGGGGTCCCTATGGGAAGGGCTGCTTCTCCCCACCCACTGGGTGGCACTTAACATCTCCTGTGACTCTTGGCAGGCTGGTGCTTCTCCCTTAGGCCTTCTGGGTAGGTGCCAAGGTGCTGGGCTACACTGTATGCCTCAGTTTCCACCTCTAAATGGTGAAAATAAAAGCACTTACCTCATAGGGTTGTTGTGAAGGTCAATGCATTCTTATGAGGAGCACACTCAGAATGAAGCCATAGTAAGCGTGCAATAAGTGTCATAATGATTAATTTGGGGGTTAGAAGACACTCCCCCCATGTGTTCATCTGGATCCACCCACAGTGTCCTGGCAGGTGGTCCTGACATATAGCAAGGCTGGCCTCCTGTTTTAGAAGATCCTCCCCCAGCAGCCCCAGTGCACCCTCAGGAAGTCACCAGCATCCATTTCTTTCTCCCACAGTATTTCTTTAGGTTGCTGAGGGCTCAGCACTGTGCTAGGGAGCCCTGGCTCCTGTTCAGACCTGTCTAGGAGCCTTATGGGAACAAATCCTCCATGTCCAGATGGAAATGGGCAGCTTCCTGCCTCAGACTCCTTGGGATTGAGTCAGAGAGAGGACAGGGGAGGTCTGGGCTCTGAGGACAGAAAGAAGGCAACTTTTCCCTGACCCTGGAGAGGCTGGTTCACCTGACTGGAGAACCATCTTCCTCCTGATGATCCACTAAAGAGGGATCAGGAACTCTCCAGAAAGATAATAGACCCTGCCCTCTTCCTCCCCCAAGGTTAGAACCTCTATTGATGAAGTGTTCTCAGCACACGCTACATGCCTGGACAGGCTGGGCCACCAGCTGATGTGTTACTGCCCAGTTGACTGGGAGAAGCCTGCCCATTGCTGCTTACCCCACAGCACCTGCCTGAGCAGTGTTGGGGCAGCAGCTCAGGGACATCCTGGGTATCAGTGATGGCTCAGCCAGTCTCCCTCACCAGCCGTTCTCTCCATTGCTGCCCTGCCCTCCCCTTCCCTGGTCTGCAGACAAACCCTCCTCTCCTCCTGTGGGTGGGCTTAGCTCCAAGCCTCCTACAACTACTCCCATCACTACCAGTTCTCAGAGCTGCAAAGATTCCTGCCTATTGGCTGGCCAGCCCTTCTATTTGGGAGGTAGGAAAAGGTTTGCCTGTTTGGCCAGAGTCCAAGCTAGCTGTGGCAAATCCCAGCTTCATGCTAGCCCCCAGGATGCTCTCCCCTCCCCCTGGCTCTTTAGGTAGCCCCACATGCCGCCCAGCCCCCCTGCCCCCAACTCCACACTCACAGTTTCCTGCCAAGGTACTTTGCCCCAGGTCTCTCTGGACCCCTTTGTTGTCCTCACTGGTGTTCATGACACCTTCCAATTTAATATCCTCTGAAAATTTCATTAACAGACTGTTTACTCCCTCTCTCATGGATCATTAATGAAGATGTTAGATAATATCTGACCCAGTGCTGGGTCTTGACAGCCCTGTCCCCACTCCTAGACTCTGTCCCTCAGTCCCTTTCCTGCCTATGACAAGTACTTAGGGCCAAGTCTGTTTGAATTAATTTTGTAAGATTACTTGAGATGTTGTATCAAATGCTTTGCTAAAAATCAAGATAGATTACCCTGCCTGCATTTCCTTCATCTACCAGTCTTGTAATTCTATCAAGAAAGCTATCAAGTTTGTCAGGCATGATTTGTTCTTTATAAATCCCCATGGTGCTGCATGGGGAACAGAGTTCCTGAGTTTTCTAAATGTTTAGATTCTGTCTTTGTGTTTACTCCTTGATTAGAGCTGGAAGGCTGTGGGCTAGGAATCATTGGAAGGACTCATCTTCTCTGGGATGGAGAACAGGGAGCAGCTCTTCTCTGGATCTCTGCTGGGGGCAGCAAATTTAGCACCCACTGCATCATAGCAGTGTGCTGGGGGATCCAGGCTGGGCACAGGGTTTGGGGCTGGACAGAGGGCCTGGTGCTGTCCCTCAGTGACTCTGCAGGCAGATGAAGATGCCAGACAAATCTGATGCCAGCCTTCTGAAGGTATCATTGAGTGATTGCCTTGTACCAGGATCTATGCTAAGAACGTCATGTACGAGATCTCATTTAAGCCTCTCACCTGCCCTGGGAGGTGGGCGTGATCTCTCCTCCCCTGGTACCAGGGCCTCAGAGAGGGTAAGGCTGCTCAGGACCCATGGTCTGGGTCTCATGCTCTGCTATGCTGCTCCTAACCACTTAGGGTATAAGTATGGGGTCAGGAGGGCTAATGGGGTGGTTCAGACTGAGTGCCTTAGGAGGTCACAGGGGCAAGGAAGGGAAGCCTTCAGGGAGATCCCTGGAGAGGTAAGGACCTCACTTCATATTAAGCTCATACACAATGCGCCATAGCCTGAATCCAGTTCCTTACCCTGCAACTTCTGAGCTGTGGGTACAGTTTGACCTCTGTGAGCCATGGGCCTTCTTCATGACATGGATTCTGCTCTAGTCCTTCCATGCAGACTTGTGGAGAGGACCAAACTAGGTGGTGTATGAGAGGTTCCTGACGCAGTACTAGGCCCTCCCTGAGCAGCTTCCGTCATCTAATGGAGGTCCCTTTGAGGTAGGGGCAGAGAGATTGAGGTCATGTTACCAAAGGGTGGCTCTTCCTAACGCTTTGCATCCAGGTGACAGGTTGAGCCATGTTGGCTTCCTGGCATAGTGTCATCCTTGCAGCCAGCTGTGGGCTGGTAGTAAGTTCTGGGCTAAGGAGC